GAGCTATTGCTTTTCTTTCTTCTTTAAACTCATGTAGTCACAGATGAGCAGCATCTAGGAAGGCCCAGAAGGCCCACACTCACCCAGGTATCCGGGTTCGACCACGTAGATGGTGCTGTTGGGTAACCTAGAAGCACCCTGCATGCGAATACCTGAATTCTTAATTAAGGAGAAGGACAGCAAATAAGCCAGCTGGTAGGCTTTAGTGTGGCTCAGATGGCCTGACTCATCGAGACAGCACAGGAATAGAAGAAAGGATGACACTCCCTGGCTTTGGCCAAGTGGAGCAAAGGCATTTTCAGAATCAAAGGCTACCCTGCATTTTCTACACCAGCAAAGGACAATTTCTGCAACAGCCATTGGAGACCACACAGGACATAGCAACAAGTTTGGGACATCGACCACTCATATGCTACCATGGAAACAGCCTCCACCAGGCCCCCTCTGAGGAGGCTGCAGGTACCAGAAAAGTCTGCAGAGGTGAGTAATGACACCCAGCTCCTGCCATTACCTCCCCTCTCTGGGAGCCTCTCGGGCGAGTCACCCACAGACATGCGCAATTCCACTCGGTAGTGCTATTTCGGTTTTGATTTTCAGACCACAGAGGGGAAACGGCTATTTTTAGCCTTGTCTGGCTTTCAGGGAGAAAAACAACTTAACTTCAAAATGGTAGACCCAACGTGCCCACACACACACACACACAGGCCCAAGAAGAGGATACTCTTGTGGCCAAGGACGAGGTTGCTCTGACCAAGCTGCACTGCAGTGACCACCGACGTGTCCTGGGCCAGGACAGCCATGGGCCGGGCCGGGTCTCCTTCTGGGCCTGGGATGCTGTTCTGAAGCTGCAGCTCATACTGGTCAGAAGGCATGGAGAGTTCTGGCCACCAACCAACCAACAAAAACAGAGGGAGAGAGAGAACAAAGGTAGAAAACGTTAGAAGCCAATATGCCCCTCTCAATCTCTGCGCCCTGCTGTCAGTACAGCTGCTTGACATTTTTTTTTTCTTTTGCTTCATTTTTTTAGTGCTTTAAGTTTTAAAATTATTCTCCATGCCTGTGAAC